GATGTAAGATCAATATAAGCACTAAGGCCAAATCCCTCACAATAATAGCTATTCTTCTATTTAGCTCAACCGACAGAAAAGAGGTCCCCTGTGCCTGTTATTTTCCATGGCAAAGTAAAAACAAGGTGCCCTATCTTTGAGAGCAAAAGGAAAACATTGTGTGAGAGTTAGATGACTTGCATTTATCCTTCGCAAGTTGCTTAAATTTTCTACTTAATTCAATTATTCTTTCAAAGCACACCATGGAAAGGCAACTGGCTTCCTCATTGACTGATTGGAAATCCTATACTGCTTTCTTTTTTCCCCCCTTTCTCCTTTTTTATTACAGTAAATCACGAACGCTTGCAAATGCGTAGTAAGCAATGAATTGAGTTCAGTATGGAGAGGCTTCCTTTTTATTTCTTGGGTGTTTATTGGATGTACGGATGTGGATTATTCTTTGGTAAAGAGCCTTGGCTGTTCAGTCTCATATTCTTTGTATGTATCTTGGCTGGTGTGTATTCTATCTACTTGTTTATTTTTTTAAAAAAAGTTCTCTTAATAATAAATACTTATGAATAATTCTGAAGGACACTGCTTGTGTAATGCTGTATCATTGCTGTGGGTCAGCTATCTTGTGAAACTCAGATTTGATTATCAGACTGTTGTCATACAAAAACAGAAATGTTTTATTAGCTATTGGTAGGATATTGGTTCTCCTGGTGGAGAAAACAGTGAGATTTTTGACAAGATTTGTTATTGTCTAGTATTTCATTATTCCTCTCCCCAAACCGAACAAAATTATTAGTGAGTGCATTTAGTTTGTAAAAATATGGACAGCAATACTCCCATGCAGTAAAAGACTTGAGCGATTAATGCTACCCTTATGCCTCTTTTGAGTAGTTGTAGCCATGGGGCTTGGCACTGCCACCATTGTCTTTGTGCCAAAAAATATCCGCAGCGGCTGCCGCATTCTAGTACTGGAGGGTTGTCTCGAAAATTCCGCAGTGAATGCATCGCATTTCTACACTGCTATAGACTCTTTCTTTTTAAAAAACAGAGTTCCCTCACACAACCTATTTAAAAATAAGCAATCTTTCATGACACCCCAAATAATAAATATACATTCCAGATTGCTCCATTTGAGCAGCACCTGAGAATGATGTGTATAGTAGAATAAGTGTAGAAATTTTAGGTGAACATTTTTTAAAAAAAGATATCTATCATGCACAAATAGTTACTTCAGGAGCCTACTCTAGCATATTATCAACACTCTTTCAAATTTTATTATCTGAAACAAATGTGCCCGTGAATTTTAAACAGAAAATCAACATAAAGAGTGTAGCTAATTTTAAATGGGCAGTTTTTTCCCCAAAGGATTTTTTTTCTTGCACAAATGAAATGTTGTTACCAAAAAAGTCTGTTAGTTTCATAACAACAGTTGTAAGTGAATATATACAAACACACACATACACTTATATTTAAAGAGATCCCTGTAAATTTCAGTTATTTTGTTCTTACATGGAAGAAGAGTCACATTGGTTGTATTTAGGAACAAAAATAAAGATGTAATAAAAGTTTAAGGCTTACACTATCAGGATGAAATGTGTTCACTCATGATCTCCAAAGCTATCTATTTGGTGGTAAAAGTGGATGCTACAGATGAAATCTTTACAAGGAGCATAATCCTTTAAAAAAAAAGTCAATCTCCTGCTGGTTGCTGTGTCTCTTTGGTACCTCACAGGCTTCGACAGAGTCCTGGACGAGTGCCCATTGATGTCATGGAAACACTCAAATTACTGAGAATGATTCATGTCTGTGCTGTTCTGTTATCCTCCCCCACACAAATAGAGGTAGATTTTTAACCCTGACAACTTGTAATTTGCAGTGCACTTTATTTTTGTATCTGGATAAATATTTTTTAACAAATGAAATTAAAATAAGACAGTCTGTATCTGATATGATAGTAAGAGAGGAGGATTAAGGACAGGTATTCGCATAAACCGAGTAGCAAGCATTTGCTGGGGTCTTTGTGCAAGAGATTGGATTTGATGGTTTTATTTTTCCCACCCTTACCCACTAAAATGCATTGTTTCCATTCACCCAATAGTTTTTTAAAGAAGTTGGCCTTATAGGTATGACTTCCAAAACAAACAAACCCCAAACCGTTGTGCTGTCCACATTCTGTGCAGGATTTTTCCCCTGCTTCATATTTATTCTCTGGGCACATATTTAAGATTATGAAGCTTTATATATTGGTTTTGTTCTCTGGATTAAGTGTTCTGAATATCGGTTAACTCACATACTTCCATTCAGGGTGGATTTGATTTAAATCATGATTTAAATTTAAAAATCCATTTTTAAAAATTTAAATTGTGATTTAAATCATAACAGAAATTAATTCCATTTTTAACAATCATTGATTTTTATCCACTGTGCTTCCATTCATTATCTTTGTTCTTTGTTAGTCCTACTACCATTTAAAATTCTTTTGTGAGTGAGTAGAAAATTATGTACAGGGTGTTACTTCTTCCTTGGGTGCACAGACAAATCCATAGTTGTGTTTCTATTTTCTGCCATGACACTGACTGTTGTAATCACACCGTTGAAAGATCTTAACTTGTTCTGGCCATGGCTTAACAATAAGTCCAATCCACTGAGAGCTTCCTCTAAGAAAGTTGAATTGAAAGTTTCAAGTTGAATGGAAGATTAGCATTGCAAATGTGTGTTTATATAACTTAAATTCCTTTTCAGCAGCTAGAATATGAGAATTCCACCATCAGTATAATCCCAATTCTGAAGAATAAGATGAAATTGAAAACAAATAGTTTAAATGTTAACATTTATGTATCCCATTTTAAGAGCTTGTAGTATAAGCACAACCATAATTTTAACAAAGAAAGTAATATATGTGTGTTTTTAAAATAGAGACTTAATTATACAGTATTGGGGAAAATATGAAATGGTGTCTTGGCATTTATGTAAATGAATGTGAAATATTCAACTTTAGTTTGCTAGCATCTCTAGAAATGGAACTCAGTTTCATAAACTGCTTCATTAAATTACTTCAGTGTTTCAAGTGTAAAAAAGTAAGGATTGCCTTTTGTATCTGATACTCGGATTCCCCATGATATAATAATTCTTAATGGCAGTTTTGTAAAGTTCAAGTCTTTGATTGTCCTAGTAATTAAATGATTCATTTGCAAGGGTAATGTACTGTACTGTATATGACCTGTTATTTTGATTTATTATAAGATTGATTGGGAAGCCATGCATTATATTATATCTGTGCAACCAAGTGAACTCACTGTTGGCCACCAGTTGGTATATCTTATACAGATCAAGTGGCAGGTTTTGGATTGTAACAACACCCTGTTTGCATGTTTCTTTCTGTAGTAAGCAATTTCAGCTTATCTCTGGTGATGTAGTACAAATGATTACAGATAGCCATTTGCTTATTTAAATCTGTTGGTTACTCAGCATAGACTTGATCACCTGTGTAGTATTCATATCTCATTTCTGAAAGTTTCCTCTCATTTTGCTTATAGAATAAGTCTACCAGATTTTAATATTTTTCACCAAATGTCTTTCCCTTTCGTTTCCTGATGACCGCCATTACATACATACATACATACATACATACATACATACATACATACATACATACATACATACATACATACATACATACATACATACATACATACGGAATTGTATATATTGAGCCAGATGTTCTTTCCTGGGTGTAACTGTGGAGATCAGGTAGTAGGCTAGGGAATTAGACTAGAATTAAACTTAGAAAATATTTCTGTACTAGATTCAGCATCTGGAGAACTTCTGATTGATGACCTCTGACCTCACTAGTGACTTTAGTGTAATCAGTGAGCATTTTTATGGTCAAGTCATGATGTGGTTACCTTCCTGCTGTGCGCATAAAAATAATTTTTTTTGGCTTTTAGAGATAGGGAAAAAATGAAAAAGATGCCTCTCTCCATGTGTATACCCATATGTGCATAGGATTCTGTTGACTTGTAAAAAAGACTTGATCCTATTTTAGTAAAGAGTTTTGGGAACAGCAGGAAATAGAAATTATATTTCCTTTTTTATCATAACAAAATTAAGGATATAATGGTTACAGTCTCAGTATGTGGTGTGTGTATGTAGCCTGAGCCCTATTGGAATGAATAGTAGTTGTACAAGAATGTATACAATTTGGCCTCCTATTAAGAGTACTAAACTAGGTGGGAGATTTGTGACAGATTCTCCCTTTTTTTAAAAAAAGTTTAAAAGCAGATGTGAAGTTCCTTCCCCACCCCACCCCCAGTTGGATTGGCTCATGTTCCAATCATGCTATATTTTATTAATCTAAATCCTTTTCTTTCTTTCTCACTCCATCTATCGGTGTGCTATATGCTTCATGGGATGAAGGCATACAAATTAACTTGATGTCAAAATTTGAACATGTTTTGGAATCTCACAAAACATAACGATGAAGACTTTGTTCTTATGAGAGCTCTTCTGCATTTAAGAACCCACTGGTATGGATTTATTAGATTTCTTCCGTAGTAAGAGGATAGCTGGTGTGGTAATGTGGATAGAACATAGAGTGATGGACTAGGGTGGATGAGATTCAGGTTCAAATTTGCACTCAGCCATGGAGACTAGCTAGTGGTTGGCAATGGTGAAACCACTTCTTAACTATATCATATACCATTTTAAAAAAACCTATTTAAAGTCACTGTAAGTCGAATGGGACTTAATAGCACATAACACAAGAATACTATGGTACTTCATTAAAGAGCATGAATTATATTTAGTTGGTTGGTTTTTGATGTTTCAAGGTATATACAGTATTCCTTTCCTAGAAGTGCAAGCTCTGAAAATATGAAAATTATTTCAAATATGAAAATTATATGAAAACCAGAATAAATCCCAGTCTAATAATCAATGAAATAACAAATTGCTTGGAAAATTATACAACTAGTAACAGACATCTTTGTTTTCTTTCTTTTTTTAACCAGGCAAAGCTGAAAGGGGATCCTATTCATCATACGGGAGAGACACAAACCTTCAGGGTTGCCACCAGGTGAGAGCAAGTCTATAGTTTGGATAGAATACAATCTCATGATTTTTTTCTGAAACATGATTTATCAGTGAATGGCTTATACAGTTTCACTCCTGTTTTCTGAGATATACCAGATGGTTTGAAGAAAGGTCTTTAGTGATAATGAAATGGTATCTTGAAATGTATGTAGTTAAACATTTTTCTAGATTGCTCTGGTAATATATGTAGCTTTTTCTGCGTAACTAGTACAATCCCCCACATCGTCTTGAAAACTATGGACCAGTCTCATTCAGAACAAGGTACTGTAGATGTTTTGTAACAAGACAGTTTCTTCCGACTGGTTCATCTTCAGGAGCAGTGGCTGGGGGGCATCAACAGAGCATGTATAAGTTCCTGGGTTTGGATAGCTATGACAATAAATTATAGTTTTTCATAAAGTCTGTATGATATTGTATGAAAACAGGGTTGTATTGAGGGATAAAAATGCCTGAGAAAATATGATTTGTTGTCCCTTTTTGTTTCTGAATTGTTTTTGGCTGGAAGTCAAGGCCAGCAGGCTAACAGCAAAACCGTCTCAAGGGAAGCATGTGTGAGCTAGAAAAATAAGAGTATTTTAATTAAATAATAAAATGCCAATGTAATACAAAGGTATAGCATGTGCATTTGTGCCTCTGTACACTTTGCATTTGCATACTTTTGACTCTCCAGAGAACGTCTTAGCTTCAAATTGTTATCAATAGCCAAACGTTCAAGCTTCTTTCAAATGAACTGATAAAAAGATGCTGCAATTTACTTTCAAAAGATGCTGCAATTTACAATTCATTTCTCCCAATCTAAACAAAATTCCTTTTTCCTTCCGTCCTAGAGCAGTAGTTGTTCACTTCTCAAATTGTTGAGAGGAATTAATATTCATTTTTAATATTTAAACTTTACTCAGCTATTAAAAAGGGGCAAGTTATTTTTCTTGTTGAAAGGGGATTTCCTCCCCTTCTTTTTATCCTTTGCATATGACTCTGAGTTCTGTAGTAGCATGGGGAAACAATGTGGAATATTGAGGGAGGGATCCACTTTGTTTAATTAGGCACAGAAAAATATAAACAGTCCAAGTTATTAAATAGACGCTCGCCTTGAAAAGTACACACGCTTTGTATTAATGTATCCTTAGAGCTGGCATTCCACTGCCTTTCTGCATCTGTTTGCTTTTTCAAGTTTTGTCTCTCCAGCCTCCTTAGATATGCCATCAATTCTAAGCATATCTGCAGCCAGAAATTTGTGGAAATGAGACACAAGAATGGCTGGGTCAGGAACTAAGGATTGCCTGTGTTATCAAGCACAATTCACCCCACTTTGCTGGAAAGAATTCCACAGGAAAGCAAATTTACAGCCATTCCAGGACAATGGAAACATCTTTGGAATGTGACTGCAAATGTTTGGAGCAGATAGCTTAGGCAATGAACAGCTTAGTGTTGCCTCTCTAGTGTACAGCTTTCAGTACCTTTGGAAAGTCTGCTCCTGTATATCTGGTTTCTGAGGGTCAAGGCAGAGGTTGCTGAAACAGAGAGAAAAAGGTTGATGACATGCTTCCTTTTTGCAGGTGGTGGTGGAACAAACTGAAGTTTTCAATGGGGCCTTTTTGTTCTTGTCTGGAAGATTAGTTCTGTGTGCTACTGGCCTGGGTTTTGTGTGTGTGCGTGCACACACTCATGTTTGGCTAATGATAATTTATATATCCTTATTATAAGTAATAAGATTTTTGTGCTGATTTTAGTTGTAGCAAAGCTCTCTTAAATTGTAGAATTGCTGCTCAAGCTGCTTGAGTATGTGGACATCTAGTATAAGAAGAAAATAGTTTTTCCTTATGTTTAAAGCAAACATTAGAAGGAAAACTGCAGTGGGTGCAGCATTCTTCAAGATGTTTATTTATCGTATTTGACCTATTACAATTATTTTGTAGTTCAGATATGCTATATTAGGGGCATGGCATTTGAAAGGCTTTAGAGTAAGTTTTCTTTAATTTGCTTAATGGTTATGACCGTAACAATTTTTATATTAAATGCAAGGTTTTGACTAATACTTTATTTAAGGTTATTCCATTATCATTAAACATTAAAGTATGCTGGAATCATTATGACAAATTCTAACTCACTATAATGGACTTGGAGTGAAGCTAGAAGCTTCAATTGTGCAGTACCACAACACCGAAGTGTCACTGATCTTGTGTCCAGAGATTTAATATTGTTATAAATCTACCCATATTTCTGAGTAAAAATGAGTCATCCTGTGAATAAGTACATCTTCCTTGATGAATTAGATATTTCTCAATAAAGATATATCTAACAATAAGATCAAGAGACAATAAACTTAAAAGAAAAGCAAATGATGATTTCCCAGAACCCCATAGCCATTGGTTTCTAACAGTCAAAATGGCCATTTCCTGTCTCTTTTGGCTATTTGGATTCCAAAGCAGTCTTTCTACAATGGAATCCACGTCCTTATCTTTGTAAAACAACTTTGCTTTGTTCTGCAAAATATATTTTCCCCATGTACTTCTTCGCAACCATGTCCTTTTTGTTGTTGTTATTTTAGTCGTTAAGTCGTGTCCGACTCCATGTGACCCCATGGACCAGAGCATGCCAGGCCCTCCTGTCTTCCACTGCCTCCCGGAGTTGGGTCAAATTCATGTTGCCATCACAAATTCCCAACATCAGGGTCTTTTCCAGGGTGTCTTCTTTTCTCGTGAGATGGCCAAAGTATTGGAGCCTTTGGCAGTCAGCCTTCTTTGTGGTCCATCTCTTACTTCCATAGATCGCTACTGGAAAAACCATAGCTTTGACTATGCGGACCTTTGGCAAGGTGATGTCTCTGCTTTTTAAGATGGTGTCCGGGTTTATCATTGCTTTCCTGCCAAGAAGCAAGGGCCTTTTAATTTCGTGGCTGCTGTCACCATCTGCAGTGATCATGGAGCCCAAGAAAGTAAAATCTGTCAGTGCCTCTTCATTTTTTGATGTTGAACTTCAGATCATTTTTTTGTGCTCTCCTCTTTCACCCTTATTAATTCCTCCTCACTTTTTGCCATCAGAGTGGTATTATCTGCATATCTGAGGTTGCTGGAAGAAATCTCAACAATCTTATTTCTGGCTTGGGATTCCTCCAGTCCAGCCTTTCACATGATGTATTCTGCATATAAATAAACAGGGGGACAATATACAGTTTTGTCGTACTCCTTTCCCAATTTTGAACCAATCAGTTCTATATCCATTTCTGACTGTTTCTTCCTGCCCCACATATAGATTTTTCAGGAGACAGATAAGGTGGTCAGGCAGTCCCATTTCTTTAATGCCATAGTTTGCTGTGGTCCACACAGTAAACGGCTTTTGTGTAGTCAATAAAGCAGAGCAGATGTTTTTCTGGAACTTTCTGGCTTTCTCCTTTGGTCTCTAGTTCCTCTGCCCCTTCGAAGTCAAGGCCCACTTGACTTCGCTCTCCAGGATGTCTGGCTCAAGGTCAGCAACCACCCTATCTGGGTGGTCCGGGACATCCAGATCTTTCTGGTATAATTCCTCTGTATATTCTTGCTACCTCTTCTTGATGTCTTCTGCTTCTGTGAGGTGCCTACCATTTTTGTCCTTTATCATGTCTATCTTTGCACAAAAGGTTCCTTTAATATCTCCAGTTTTCTTGAACAGATCTCTGGTTTTTCCCTTTCTTTAATTTTCCTCTATTTCTTTGCACTATTCATTTAAGAAGGCCCTCTTGTCTCTCATTGCTATTCTTTGGAAGTCTGCATTCCATTTTCTGTAACTTTCCCTATCTCCCTTGCATTTTGTTTCCCTTCTCTTCTCTGCTTTTTCTAAGGCCTCATTGGACAACCACTTTGCTTTCTTGCATTTCCTTTTCTTCGGGATGTTTTTTGTTGCTGCCTCCTGTACAATGTTACGTGCCTCCATCCATAGTTCTTCAGGCACTCTCTCCACCAAATCTAGTTCCTTAAATCTGTTCTTCACTTCCACTGTGTATTCATAAGGGATTTGGTTTAGATTACACCTGACTAGCCCAGTGGTTTTTCCTACTTTCTTCAGTTTAAGCTTGAGTTTTGCTATAAGAAGCTGATGAGCAGAGCCACAATCAGCTCTAGGTCTTGTTTTTTGGTGACTGTATAGAGCTTCTCCATCTTTGGCTGCAGAGAACATAATCAATCTTATTTTGGTGTTGCCCATCTGGTGATGTCCATGTGTAGTCACCTCTTGTGTTGTTGGAAAAGAGTGTTTGTGATGACCAGCTTGTTTTCTTGACAAAACTCTATTAGCCTTTGCCTTGCTTCGTATTGAACTCCAAGGCCAAACTTCCCTGCTATTCTTTTTATCTCTTGACTCTGTGCTTTAGCATTCCAGTCCCCTATTTGTTTGTCAGTTCTAGAAGGTGTTGTAAGTCTTCATAGAATTGGTCAATTTCAGCCTCTTCACTATCGGTGGTTGGTGCATAAACTTGGATTACTGTCATGTTGAAAGGTCTGCCTTGAATTCGTATTTAAACCATTCTATCATTTTTGAGATTGTATCCAGTACAGCTTTTCCCACACGTTTGTTGACTATGAGGGCTACTCTATTTCTTCTATGAGATTCTTGCCCACAATAGTGGATATTATAATTGTCTGAATTGAATTTGCCCATTCCTGTCCATTTTAGTTCACTAACGCCCAGGATGTCAGTGTGTATTCTTGCCATCTCCTGTTTGACCACATCCATCTTACCAAGGTTTATAGATCTTACATTCCAGGACGTTTGTTGACTATGAGGGCTACTCTATTTCTTCTATGAGATTCTTGCCCACAATAGTGGATATTATAATTGTCTGAATTGAATTTGCCCATTCCTGTCCATTTTAGTTCACTAACGCCCAGGATGTCAGTGTGTATTCTTGCCATCTCCTGTTTGACCACATCCATCTTACCAAGGTTTATAGATCTTACATTCCAGGTTCCTATGCAGTATTTTTCTTTGCAGCATTGGACTTTCCTTTCG